TTCCCTTATCAGTACATAAACAATTCCTTCAGTCAGACAGTCAGATTCTTAAATAAATAAAAGGGGGAAGGGGATGGCGAGGGGTCTTAGACAAGCAGAACTGAAGCTCTTATTTTACCTTCCTGAAGATTATACTAGTACCTGTAACAAATATAGCAATGCCAAGCTGAACGTGACTATGTTAGGGGATCTGAAAGTAAGAGCATGTTGATACATTATGGTTCCACAATTAAATTTAATAAACATTGATAAAGTTGCCCATCAGTGTATTATTTGGGTGCATTTTACATGATCTAAATCAAAAGGAATATTGCCTTCACAATAGGCAGTATTACATGCCAGTGCTCTCACGGTAATATCAATATTCTTGTTTTATTAAGATTTTTCAGTCCCTTTGCCAAGTGTTTTATTAAGATTTTTTAGCACTCTCTAGCCAAGCACCTATCTGTTCATTGCGTTTCACAGTCCTAGGAGTTTTCCCTCCCAAGCCCCCATTCCACCACCATTCTTGGAAATGCAGTCTTTGAATTTCTACAAAAGAACTGTAGTGCCCTCTGGTGGTTCTTTACTAGGATAAAAATTCCAGTTGACAAGCTTTTAAAAAAAGAAAAAAAGTTAACCACCACAAATGCTTGATGCATGCATTTTTAAAGTTCCTATTATAATACCCTCTCAGAAAGTAAGGAATGTCTCAGACCTTCTTAAAACAATTGAGGCTCTGAATCTTTGGTCATTTAGATAATATGAATCTTGCAAGTCCCCGAAAAACTAATTCAGTATTACGTGTACATTAGGAATCTGAACAAACATGCCCCCAAAGAAACACATGGTGCTGCATGTGGCTTCTGCAGTGCAGTTTCTTTCCTTATCCTGAAGTCCTATAAAAGAATTCTCGCTCCTTTTTGATCAGGACAATTTTTGCTATTTGACAAAAATTGGTGGTGGGGGGAAATCTAAGTAGCCTGGCACATTAACAAAGTATTTAAAATGCTGGCTATGGACAGGGATAACTTTTAACCATTTCTGAAAAAGGGAAGAGTTGCTGCTGAACAGCCCATCACATTTTAGAGTATGCCTGGATTGCCTATACAAGTGAGCAAATCACTGTAAACGTAACTCTGAATAACATGGGGTTAAACATGCAAAAGCTTTGACAGACGTACAGCATTACAGGAGCACTCACAGGTAACTCTTAGGTGGCACAACTACTAATCAGCTGAATCTTTTAATAACCACACAGGGCTGGTTCTAATGCCTATGGTGTTTAGTACAGGTATGCTCTCTCACACGTGCACAGAGCAGAGAGGATGGAGTTTAGTTTTATTTGAAGCAAAATTGAAGTGTAATCCAGTCATTACTCATACATTGCTATTGGTTCACTTGATTAGCCATGATGAAGTGAGAAAACCAAGGGCTCCCCAATCTTACCTCTGTTAACACCTATAGAGTTTAAATGACTGACCTACAGATTTTTTTTTTTTGGGGGGGGGGGGGGGGGGGGGGGAGGAGAAGGGAGAGGGAGAAGAGTCTGTATTACACATTCAACATCCATTCAAAAAGGTTTGCAATACTCCTGCCCTGTGACATTGAGGAAGATGGCAGCCTCAATGTGGCATTCAAGTTAAAAAAAGTGGGAAATCACAACTCCAAGCCCTTCTCATGCTTTCAAACGACACCACCCAAGCTAATTTTTCTCTTGCAACTCAAACAGGCAACTCAGACTAATTTTTAAAAGTAGATTGGTAACACAGGCTGTAGGCCTAACCTATGATGGGTGGTGATGTTGCTGTCACAACCCAAGGGTGTGATTTTTGTTTGTGTGTGCGCTTTTGCACCACTGAATTATTTTCCCGCCAATTTGTAGCTTTCTTTGCAGTGTGCATTTCTTCTTTGCAGCACAGAGATGCACGGTGCAAAGAGTTCCCGCCATTTGTATTCTAATCCGAGCCCCATTATTGGCTTGCATTAAATTATTCACGCGTGGCGGCTAGCGATGGGCTTGCTAGCCGTATAAAAGGCTTGGGTGATTTCCGCCCAAGTTGGAGAACTCCGAGGAGAACCCCCGCAAGGGAGGACTCCACGAACACCAGGAGGAGGAGACTTCACACTGCGTGAAGATCTAAGCGCTGCGGAGCCTATCGGACCCAGCGCATTTCAAGCAGGCAACAGAGGTCTGATCAGCCTCTCCCCGTCGCCGCCTGATCCCTCGACGTACCCTTCCCTGCGCGCAAACAAGGATCCACGGAGCCTCGACAACTCCGTGTGAGTGAGAGTTTTTGTCCGAGTCCTCAAACGAGGATTTAAATCGGAGCTGTACCTGGGAAACTGTCCAGCCTACACCGCGCCCATCTTCGGTGTAAGTAAACAATCTTGAATCAACCATTATGCGTCCGTGACTAATTCTAGCGTGCCACCTGTTTTCTCCGACCCCGCATGTCTGGGCTGCTGGCCACAGCCCGCGGTGCGCAAAAGGGCCCTGGATCGCTCCCGGCCTGCACAGTTGCATGTATTTTTCATTAGCTCCAAGAATCATTATGCCTCAAGCAGACTCACTCCTGGACTCAGCCAGAACTGGTGTTTGAGCAGTGCAAACTGCAGTTTCAAGGGTCCCCGGGCTAGGGTCCTGGGGCGCTACCATCCAGGAAACTGGCTGGCAGCCCTCCATTTCAAGGCTGTATTAGTGTAAGGATCAAATACTGAACCTTTGCACTGGGTCCCTAGGGCTAGGGACAGACATTCAAAAAGCCTGAGCCTGAATTGATTCAACCTTTGCAGGCTACTCTAACCTGCCTAGGCTGAACCAGTTTGTAGCAGGGCAAACATTCTCTCTGGACTGAGGAAATGCAGGCACATGCCTGCAGTTGCTTAGGCAAGGAGCCCTGAGGTGCTTGAGTGGGTCCTTGGGCTGCAGGGAAGCTGTGCTGGGAGACATGTCCATTCCAGGCTGAACTGACCTAAGAGGGGTTTAATTCTCTCTTTCTGTCCTACAGGCAGGGACCTGAGCTGGGTCTGCTGGGCACTCCCTCCCTTGCTGCAGCAGCAGGGCACCCTGGCCCCTGAAGCAGAGGGGGGCAGGGAGGAATGCTAGTCTCCCCTCTACCCCCATCGCTGCCACACGCTCCCTGCAGCAGAATAAGTCTCCTGCTGTCCCCTCTGTTGGATTCCAGAGGGAAGGGGAATAACTCCCATCTCCACCTCTCCCAAGAGGCCCTGTCTGGCTGTGCCCCCGCCCCACCTCTGCATCAGGAGGGAGCAGGGCCCTTGTTGGGGGGAAGCAGCCCCTGTCACTGTCAGGGAGCATAAGCCCCTTCCTGGTGGGGCACTGCACTGTGGGGCGGGAAGACCCGGTCTGCGTTTGGGGCCAGGCCCCTCCCAGCGAGAGGGGGCTTATTCCACTAGACGCTACTCCGAGTGCAGATCAAGTGGCAGCTGCAGCCAGGCCAGACAGACCTGGTTGCAGTGCCCTGGGGACAGAGTGGGGAATAATCCCACTCCCTGCCTCCCCAGGGGCTCTGCCAGGGGTGTCTGGCCTCACTCCTGCCTGGCCACTGAAGAGGTGAGGGAGGAGCAATTATGTCAGGGGCAGCAGCCCCTGTCCTTGTTTTCCCCAAGCATCAGCCTCTTCCCAGTGGGGGCCACACTGTGGGGCCAGTAGAGCTACTGCACAGCATGGTGGTGCTGTGGGGCTAGGAGGGCTCTGGCCTGTTCTAGATGCCAGTGCTGCTGCATGCAGCCTGCCACAGCTCTGCCAGCCCCTCAGTGCAGCACCCTCACTGGGAAGGGACTCGTGCTCCCCGACATTATGACAGGGGCTGCTGCCCCCAACAAAGCCTCCGCCCCCTCCCACTGCAGTGGCAGGGTGGCGGCATGGCCAGACAGGGCCCCTTGGGAGGGACGGAGATGGGGTTATTCCCCCTCCCTCCGGCAGCCAGCGGAGGGTACAGCAGGGGGCTTATTCCGCCACAGGGGGTGATCGCAGTGGCGACGGCACGCAGACCCAGCTGCCAGTGATGGTAGAGGGGAGACTAACCCCCCACCCTGCCCCTCTCTGCCTCAGGGGCCATGGTGCCCCGCTGCTGCAGCAAGGGAGGGAGTACCTGGCAGACCCAGCTCAGGTCCCCGTCTGTGGGATACAGAGGGAGGAATTAAACCCCTCTCTGGCCAGACCCCTACCCCTGCTCTGGCTCGGGAACAGAGGGGTGGGGCTATCCTGGCTGGGTTGGAGCAGAGAGCCCAGCCCAGAGATCATGCCAGGATGCTGGGGGAGTCTGGTTTAACTTAAACCAGGAAGGGGCCTGGGGCAGACATTGCATAAACTGATTTCAGCCAAATCAGTTAAGTCTGATACTACATTCAATCAGGTTTATCTCAAACTGGTTTCAGCCATTTTGAAACTAGTTTATATGCACTGAATGTCTGTTCTGTTACAGGTTTAAACCAGTTTTTGATCACTTAAACTGGTTTATGTGTAATGTCTGTCCCTAACCCAAAAGATAAGCTTTACTCCATAGGGGCCATTTCCTGACAGAGGGCAATATGTACTTACCCCAAAGTCCAGCTTTGAGCCAGCTCTGTAATCAGGACTGAAGTGGGGAACTGAGTACTAGCTGATAGGAGAAGTAGCCTAATGCTCTTGCGCTGTCTAGATGCATTTGGGGTGTGATAGGAAGCGTTTCTTGTACTCTCTTCCTCTCCCCTGCTAATATTGCATATTCATGTAGGACTGAGCAGTCATATCCATAGAACACAATGATAAATGGTTTTAATGCGGGGTATAAGAGGGAAAGGCAGAGGCTTTGTTGGGGGCAGCAGCCCCTGTCATAATGTCGGGGAGCACGATACAAATTACAATACAATTTACTGTGCAGGGTAAAAGAGGGAAAGGGGC